CTCCCCCCCACACACACGACCCACACACACACACCAGTCAGAATTGGAGAGGCGTTTTGTGACACAAAATACCTTTGAAGTTTGCTGCCGTGCGGGATTAAACTTTGCTTGCAGAACTTTAAAAATAATTATCGCCCGCTAAAAATTGATTTCATTTTCGGGATCAGCGTATCGAAATAGCAAAGTGGCTCGCGTGGAATCTGATTTGATGCCATAAATAAATTAAATTTAATAAGCAAACTTCGTTTTTGATTGTCAATTTTGAATCTGAAGTCTTGTATCAAGGTCACCTGCTGCGTTGTGCATCTGGCGTCACAGCTGCTTGGCCTAGGTACAGCACACTTCTCGTGGTAAAAAAAAAAAAATTGGTGTCGGCTCCTTCCCAGACCCGAATAACCGTTGGTTTCGGCTCCTTCCCAGACACCTCCTTCTGTAGAACCGGGAGTGCTAGTACTGGGTACCGGTACCTGCCCATCCCTAGTGATTGGAGAGGTTTCCCGGTCTGACGTCACACAAGATGGCCGTCTCACCTAAAAATAGTTAGCGTCGTTCTACGTTTAGTCGCATGTCTGTACGCACGCTATTGCGTACAAGGTATCGTAATGATAGTTTGCTATTTATATATACGCACACATTTGTGTGTACAGTAAAACCTGTGTAAAATGGCCTCCCGTTGTGAAGGGGAAAATTGACTGTAACATAGGACTGGTTGAAATGAAGATGAAAGCAATTCATTCTCTTCCGAGGTCCAAACTGGGGCTGATGTCAGACTTTAGACCGCCGAAGGGCTAATTCAAAAGGGTTTTTGTTTTCTTTTGAAAAAGGGGGGTGGGTGGTGTAAGAAGGGTTTTTTTGTATTGTTTTGATGGTTTTGTTTTTTGACCTTTCTTTTTTTTAAACTGATTTATGTAAGTAAAACGATCAAGACGAGTGCCATTGTAACACAAGCACATGGGTCGCCACCACTCGAAGAACGAGCGATGCTTCTGTTGCCAGTTCGCGTCATCGTCCATTGTTGTTACTTTGTTACAGATTTAGGTAAACAAAAAGTGATCAGTCGCCTAACATACGATTTGTGCATGAGTTGTGGGCAGGGCTTATAGGTTATGACGGATCACACTTCCCTCACCAGCAGCTGTTGAAAATTTAATTGTTAGGCCTACCCATTGGTCAACTTGGGTACATTCACTGGAGGGACTAACAATAATGACAGGTGAATTGATTATGACGGCCCGTCCATATCATGAGGGGCAGATTCAAAACTTATGACAAAACGTTGGGCAATTTGAGTGAACACGCCTGGCCGCCTGAGGCAGGTAAATTTGACAGTAGGTTGATAAAATAAGGTGCCCCCAACCCTTTTCCCTTTTTCCCCCCTTTCGTTCTCTTTTGTGTGTTAATTTGTTATCTTTAAACAATCTCAGCAATTCTCGTTCCATACATTTAGCCTGTACCAGCATCATTCTGTACCTCCTCTTTTCGTCCCCAAACAAAGTTGTACACTCACACATCACACACAAACACAACAAACACACATGATGCAAACACACACACATACACGCCCCCACCCCAAGCAGTTGGCGATGAAATCAACCTCGCTTCGCCTAGTGACGTAACCTATCACGCTCTAAGCAGCTAAGCGGGCCAGCGATGGCGCGGACAAAAGCCCAAAAAGGAAGTGCGATTATATATAGTAGTAGAGAATCTTTGGCATTACACAGCAAGGAATTGCGTGCATACCAAAGTTTGATACCGTGCACACAATTGCGTGCGTGTAACATAAAATGTGTTAATGCAGATTGTAATTTGAAGTTTTGCAGCTGTTAAGTTTGAAATTTTCCTGATGTATAATTGATTTGCGTAAATTTTTAGGCTACTTTCACCCCTGCACACAGATACACTGCTTTGGGGGTCAAAATGCTGTATTGCTTTGCTGCAGGTCACACATAGCCACTAAAACTGTCATAATTTAATTTTTTTCAAGGAAATTAAAAACCTAACGGCAAAATATGAAATGGGTTAAAATGGG